TTATATTATATATATATATATATATATATATATATATGTTGTTGCAGTTCTGCCTACAACTTCTCCAAATGTTTGAGGTTTCACATGCTCACTATATCTCATCATTCTAGAACTCTCTGCAGCCAACAATATAAATATCTAAACATTTAAAAACTTAGTTTACAGCATTTCAATGAAATATTTGTTGAAATCATGGCTTTTCTCTGGATTGAAAAAGCAAAACTAAGAAAACATTTCATCAAATCTATACAAAAAGCACTCCTCTTCTGATAGTAAGAGATAATAAACAAATGCATATACACATATGCATATACAGGCTTAATTGTAAATATTCATCTATATACTTAAGATATTACTTTCATTTTCAAATTGCAACTCATTTTCAGTATCCAAACATGTTGGCTTACAATATGTGCAATTTTCTGTAAAATTACAGTGCTTATTCAAAAATGAAGAACACTATAGCTTAAAATCAAAGTTCCTTGCACTAATTATTTAACCTGATGACTACCGGCTACTAACTTTCCTAGTAGCCAATGCAAGTCTTGCTATATGTCATTCCAACAATAAAACTAGTGGATGAAATTATTTGAAACTTCATAAGAACTTTCATAAATGCACATAGTTTAAGAAACATAAAGCCTGTTACTTTTGATAAAATTAATTATTTTGCATTATGATTTTTAATATCTTGGAAAATTACATTATGAAATAGTATTTATAAGAAATGATTACAATATTTATATTTGTTCCAGATTTGAACTTGTTACTTTTTATGTTTTAGTACATTATTTTAAAATCCCTAAAACTTTTTATCATCCATAAAATGCAAATTTTGTCTATTTTTAATTTTTTTAATAACTACATACTCTACTTATGGTTTGAAGCAATATACAAGACCCGAAAATATTTCTATGCAAGCCTAAACAATAAACGAGTATTTTTATTTTTTAACTAGGATTTCATGTTTATATATGTACATAAAAAACATTTTAATTTTCTTTCATAAATTTATTTTTATTTCAAGTTTGTTTCATTGCTGTCATACTTTTGTTTATTGTGCCGAAGAAATCATGAGGTTAGCAGCATGCAATTCGTACATTTGCCGTAAATTATCATGCCTCTTAGTGGTCACTCTCATTCAGCCCAGCACAGGTGCATTTCAACATTACTGTAGATATTATAGTAAGAAAGCTTTTCGGTACTTGAATATCATTTCTTTGAACTTTCAAACAAATGTATTGCAACATATTTGTATGTTGTTTCACTATACAGACAAAACTATTTGTCACTACAAGTGAATATATGTAATAGTTTACATTTTGAATAACACTGCCTGACCCTAGTTACTTGATACATCCTGTTAGAAGAGATTACCAAATGATACAGACACCATAAATTACTAAGAAAATTACTTTACAGCACTTAAAAGATTAGTCCTGGTCACATTCCTCTCATTACAGGCAAGATTTATGTTTGAAAATCAAAACTTAAGCTCTTCAGTGTATTGAGACTGCACTGTGAGAATGTCATAGCTTCCCCTGTATTATCGAGACAAATGCATTTAGTCTGTTTCACAACCAACATATGGGTTTTATTTTTGTCACTTGTACACCGAGTTTTAAACCATTTGCAAAATATCATAATAAACTTTATACATA